TTTTAAGGCTCGCCCTAATGTATGTATTACATATGTGAATATTTTTATTTATTTTATAATTTTGGTGGACGCCTTTATTTTGTACAAAATAAAGGGATGCCTCACGACTTCGGTATTTTATGTATGTGCCTCACGACTTCGGTATTTTAAGGACCACCCTAATATATGTACATATACACAAAATATACCTAGTCTTTCATGGAATTAAATTTAGATATCCTTTGCCAGTAATTTTTCCTTTGAATTTCCACATACGAATATGTTCGTTGACAAAAATGCAAATTGATATTCCCATCTCTCTTTCACCAAACCAAATTAACAAGTCCGATTGCATTTTTCTAATCAATACCTATTTTTATTAAAATTTTATTTTGCAGCTGAAGCAATGAAAAATTAAATCAACCGAAACGGGCTTTTATGTGAAAGATTTTTTTTCACAAAACCAATTAATGCTACGATTGTGAAAGCTCTGCGTCAAAGCAGCATATAAAAGGGGAAATTGAAAGAAGCGATGAAAGTAAATGCAATTGCAGTATAACTGTAAGTGCGGACGTGAAAGGGGAAAGCCAATAAAACGCCAAAGCCTTCAAAACAGAAAAACAGAAAAAAGTGCAAAGAGCAAAAACACCAACACGCAATTTCAAGTGAGCTGCAGTGAAAAAGTAATTAAAAACGAACTTTAACCCAAATAGTGCAGTGAAGCAGCGACGCGACAGAGAAGGTGGGCGCCGACACGACCTACACACATGGCACATATGCACGCTGAAGGAGGAATGGACGAGTATATATGTATATGTATGTATGTACAGTTAAGCGCAACAAACTTAAATACAATTTAGGAAGAAGCATTAAAAAGCGGCAACAACAAAGGTTGAGCAAACATTTGAAAATCATTGAAGTTAGCGTTGAGAAAAAAAACGGCACGAAGTGTGCTGAAAAAAAGTTGTAACCAAAAGAAAAAAAGACCGAGAGAACAAGTAAAGTGCTTAAATAAGTTCCTTGTAGGTGTATGTGTATGGAAATTCTAGCGCCAGAGCGTATGTTTAGTAGTATAGTCGAAGTAGCAGCAAAGAGGCGTAAGCGGCCAGGCGGCATAATAAAGACGGAGCGAAAACAAAAGCAAAAACAAAAACTGGATTACTGTAAAAAGCAAGTGCAACAGCAAAAGCAAATAACAGCAACAAGATGCAGAAGGAAAATAATTCGACAGCGGAAAATTGCCAATTTGTGGGGCCATACCGTCTGGAGAAGACGCTGGGCAAAGGACAAACGGGTGAGTATATTTATGTATAAGAGGGCACAAATGTGCATAAAAAACAATGAAAGAGTAGTGAAGTGGCGGGTAGAATAAAAAAGGGGCAAAAAGAAGGAGTGGAGAGTTCAATACATATGTATGTGCCATAAACATATTTAGGCACAAACACACAGCAGACACAAGCTTTCATACTTATGTAAGTATGCAATGAACTGCGAAAATACTCAGCACTGTGCCAATTACACATGCATAAGCAGTACGTCCGTTGGGAAGAATAACCAATTGACGTACAGACGGCGTTGAATGCTACATAGCGACGTCAGACATACAAATTTATATTAGAGCGGTTCGCAAGAAAAAGTTGGTTCAAAAAAAACGTATATTCGAATATTTGTGTGAAGTGAGAGTCTCGACAAAAAATTTTTTTGGACCACCTTAAACCGAATTTATTTATTTTTGGCCACTCTAAAATGAAATTTTGTTTTTTTTTAACCACCCTTAAGTTAATTTGTTGCCTCAACTTTGACACTCGATGCGCGCTTTTCATGAATGATATATTGTTGTAGGGAGCATGACGACTACGCTATTTTCTTCCCATAATTGTTATTCGGAGAATAATGAAAAAATTGCACTGTGGGTGTTATTACTGTGACTACAGCAATATATCATTTGATAACAATAGTGTATCAAAAGCAAAAGTTATGAAAATAAACATATTTTTAGGGTCGTCCAAAAATATACTTTAGTGGTCCTAATAGCCAGTTTTACATTCGATATTTAGGTGCAAAATAATTTTTTTCATTTGAATTTAAAATGAAAACTAACAAAATATAAAACAACACATTTTTCTCTTAAATTGCTAATGAAAGTGGTAGTTGGAGTGGTTCAGTTTTTCTTTTTTTTATTCTACACATAATCGTCCACATTGGTGTCGTTCCATTTTTTTATAACAATCTACCGACCCGGCCTAATGTGCATACATTTGCACTTATGCATGCATGGCAACAATCGATTGCTAGCGCTGCATAAATTTCGTATGCATATGAAGTCTAGCAGTACTCGTTAATTTATGCGTGTGTGTTTGTGGCATTTGAAACAAACAAACAAACAAAAAAAAACACAAATAAACCATTTTCAATGCCTCCCGTTTGACGCATACGCCTCTTTCTCCTGCTCCTTCTTACCCGCAAACATTCACGTAAATTTATCTTTTCGTCTACTAATGTCTTCTCATTTTTTGTTTTATAGGTCTGGTTAAGTTGGGCGTGCACTGTGTGCTCGGTCGTAAGGTGGCCATTAAAATAATCAATCGCGAGAAGCTCAGCGAGTCGGTATTAATGAAGGTAAGTGCAGTGGTAGAAAGCGAAGTAGCAAATAACTAAAAAAATAAACATACAACGATAGATGCTATCTCAGCAAATGGATTGCAATAAGTGGTTTGTAGATCCGCGCCGCGAGCGGGTATCGCTGGCGACAGCGATAGTGCAAACGATATAAGTCATTAGCACAGACACGCAGCGGTAACGCTTGGGCGGCGCTTACATTAGTGGCTATTTTTAGTGGCACGATAGGAACATGAAAATTTACTGTTAAACCACTCACTCAAACATATGTACATATCTATCTGGACATACAACTTAACTTTTAAAAATGTTGCCAAATTAGTGTCACGTATACGCCATGTCGACTTAATGAATTGTGAGAAGGAAAGAAAAAAGACTGTAGATATTGCGCAGCTAAGGTCATCGCAGGCATACATATACCAAGGAGGAAGTTGGCTTTTTTTGGGCTTTAATTAAAAATTGCGTATTGAATGGCTTTACTCGCTCATCGCTTATATGTATGAACGTGGGAAAGTAAAAACTGGGCATCATTTTTTATTCCTACAAAAACAAGGCGTAAAGTTGTAGTTTAAAAATTGTGCGAAAGTTTTTTGGTAATTTAAAACAATTTTGTTGGTTAAGAAATTGGATACTTACAGCCTGCTTCACTTTAATAGGTACACATATTTTCCTCAAGATCCATGCTTATATCTGGACTTGTGGGCATCATTGAAAAATGATTAATTTCAAAGAAAAGTGGTGCATATGAAGAAACGCCTTGATTATATTCCATTTCTTAGCAAACTACCCGAAAATTATGCTTATCATTTTGATTTATGTGAATAGGGACATTGGATTTAACAGAAGGAAAGAACTAGATGTAATCAACAAAAGCATGCTATTCATTTTAGTTCTACTAACTAGCACTTTTGATTTTGGATACTACATCCTCAAATCCAATGTATGGAAAAAACTCCTATTCGGCAGAAAATTCAAGAGGCGCTTAAAAAATTCAAGGACATCTCGTTGCTTACCACTTTATTCGCCGGAAAGAACAACTGCCAATCATCACATCGATTGTCTGACACCCAGATATTGCAAAAAATCCAATTCCAAATATTTTCCATTAAGTTTAGGTCCTGCGAGTAGGACGAGCTCTGAAAAAATTACCACTTTGCTTCGCTATTATTATTTTTACAGCTCCTGTAGTACGAATTGGTGCGTACTTTTGCTGGCATATTCGAACAAAGTAAACAGTCGGTGTGCTCTCTTCATTTTCATCGCTTTCTTTCGAATTTTATCATTCGTAAAAATGATAGCAAAAAGAAACTTCTCTGACACACACAAATCCAGAAATTAGTTTCGGTCTTGAGGAAAATATGTGTACCTATTGAAGTTAGGCGGGCTGTATGTGGATTAAAAAAATATACATACATAATTTTTTGTCATAAACATAAATTTTTGGTGGCTTACAAATTAAAAAAAAAATATTGTAATGAATGCATATATATTTTAGAACATTTAAAAACTGGACATAACTTTTTGTTCATCTAAATGCCGGACATAAATCTGATAGTTTAAAAGTTGAATATTCTGTTTTGGTATTTAAAAACAGAATTTGTGTTTTAATCATTCAGAAATGGGACATAAATTGTTCTCATCTAACTTAAAAACGGGACAGATGTACTAGGTTTTAGTTATCAAAAAACTGGCCATTACATTTCTGGTAAATTATTAACTGCTTTTATGGTCGTATAATAACCGGACACAAATTTTGGCCATTTACTGGACATCAAATATTGGCCTTCTATGAACTGAACATAACTCTTTGGTGGTGTAAAAGCTGAATACATATACATTTTTAGTAACTTAAAACCTGGACATAAATTTTTATCCATTTCAAAAAGTTAACATAAAATTTATTATTTTCAAAATTGCCTATAACTTTTTGTTAATTTAAACTAAATTTAAGGTTAGTCATAGTTATGACTTAGTCATAAAGATCTTGCCAACAGAGCACAACAGTCACGCTTTGAAGTGTATTTTTATACCTTTCATGAGCATGAAATGGTATTATAACTTTGGTCCGATGTTTGTAAGTACCAGACCAAAAAGAGATAGACCCATTAAAATGTATACTTATATGATCAGAACGTCGAGCTGAGTTGATTTATCCATGTCCGTCTGTCCGCCTGTCCGTCTGTCCGTCTGTCTGTCTGTTTGTATGCAATATAGTCTCTCAGTTTTCAAGATATCCGGATCAAATTTGGTAGGTGGGTGTATTTTTATAATGTATTAATCATTTGTCGGAACCGGAAGAATCGGAAGACTATAACATATAGCTCCCATACAACTGATTGTTCAGATATGAGATTTTTCGTTATAACTTCTCCACTTATGCAGCTACGAACATGAAATTTTGCAGCACTTGCACCCATTATCAACAGAATGCTTACGGTGAAAATTAGAAATATCGGTTCACTATAACCTATAGCTCCCATACAACTGATTGTTCAGATATAAAATTTTTCGTTATAACTCCTCCATTTATATAGCTGGGAACAGGAAATTCCGCACTGTTTTCAATAATTATCAACAAAAAACTTACAGTGAAAATTAAAAACATCGGATAACTATATCCTATAGCTCCCATACAACTGATTGTTCAGATATGAGATTTTTCGTTATAATTCATCCATTTATGTAGCTAGGACCATGAAATTTTGCACTGTGGTCACTCATTATCAGCAGAAGACTTACAGTGAAAATAACGAAGATCGGGTCACTATAACCTGCAGCCCTCATACAACTGATTGTTCAGATATGAGGTCTTTTATCATATCTCCTCCATTTATGCAGCTAGGAACATGAAATTTCGCACAATTTTCACTCATTATTAACAGAATACTTACAGTGAAAATAACAAGGATCGGGTGACTACAACATATATCTTCCATTCATCTGATTGTTCAGATATGGGATTTTACTGTAAAACTCCTTTATTTGAACAGCTAAAACCGATAAATTTCGTAAGATATTTTATAAATAATAATACAAAGTCTACTGAGAAAACCGTCAAAATCTATGCTGTATAAGCTTTATCTCCTATAGCACTGATTGTTCAGATACCAGTTTTTGCGATATATCTCCTTTATGTAGGAAACTAAACCCAATAAATTGTGTTACCGGTTTACATACCGATCACATAGCAGTGAAAATCACTTAGATTGGTACCATATAAAGTATATCTTCCATACCTCTGATTGTTTAGATGCGATTTTTTATATAAGTATGTAACTCCTCTATCGATGTATGCAGATGTATTCAAAATCAGTAATCTGTCAAACTAAAATTTGCAGATGTTCATGAAAGGTATGAAGCCTTCGGCATAGCCGAAGACAGCGCTGCTCTTACTTGTTTTTTTATATTTTTTGGTTATGTGTGTATTTTCTATGTGGTTTTTTGTGCTTTTTATTTTCCACTTTGTATTTCGTATTGTTTATTTTTTTATATCGATGACTGAGTTGAAGATCGACCTATCTCGGTAGCCAGTTCGAAAACGCCCTATCTCAGAATTTTATTGAAAAACACCCTATGCCAGAATTTGGTTGAAGTACGCCCTCTCAGCATTTGGTATTCTCCATTTTTCATTTGGATCATTGTAGTTATTTCTTATTTCGTTTTCGTATTTGGTATTTTTCTTTTTCTATTTTGTGTGTTATTGTATTTTTTTATTTTGTACTACGTAATTGGGTTTTTTGTTTTGTATTTATATTGTTTGCATATTGATTGATTGCTTGCAGTTCCTTGGATTTGGATAAATAAATAACCGCGACTATACAACTACATTTTAATTGAATTTTTCTCTTTGCAATATTTTCGCTTTTATGTAGGCAAATCCTTTCATATCAATTTTCTATTGCCTTGAGCATATCGAATAAATATAAGCTTTTCTCCAATTCTTTTATCCCCAATAAACTCCTTTCAACCATCAAACCCATTTATTTTATGTTCAATAAGCCCTACATGCCAACAACAAAAACCACTTCAATTCCCTGCATGGTATTGGTTGCTTATCTACATATGCACATACATAGTTTGTGGATCCATTTCTAATGTTTAGTGTTTTTTTTTTCTAAAAAAAAAAAATATATTGTGCGCCCTTTCTCTAATGCATATACTCACTAACTGCTTAATAGCTGGACGGGCTGCCTGTCGGCCGAAAATCGACTGCCGCACGCAAACTGGTTGAGCGGCCTTTACTCATACACAGCAGTTACGACACACATTCTCACACTTGACCGTGGCTTGTCAGCGATATACATACTTCCACAAACATTTTGAGCTTGACTAGTTTTTCGATTATCGTTTGAATGCTTTTCTTTCATGTGTTTTTTTACTACTAACTTGTACAAGTAAATTCACATACATTCATATGTCTGTATGTAGATATGTATGTATAGGTTTGAAGTTATTGTTATTTTCACCTAAAAGCCTAAAGCTTTTGCTGATATTCTCAAGGGTATTCCGCGCATAAAAATTCACAGCAGGGTTGGCTATTTTCGGCTTTGTGTTTAATATTTTTTACTTTTTTTTTTGTGTTTTTTTTTTTTGATTCTTCTGTGTTTTATAGTTTTTGCTTTGTCTGCATTTTGCCTTTGTTTTTTAATGCTCATAGTATTGTTTGTCGAGCGGTTGCTGGTATGCGAAACGGATATAAATTTTCATTAGTGACACGTGTTTTTCTACAAATATATGTACATACATATGTAACTATGCAGTATAGTTGACTAACAGAAATTGAGCATAATAAAAACGGAAATAAATGAAAGGAAACAAAAAATGCTAATCGTGGTAGTCGGGTTGTGTGGGCAGCCAACTTTAATTGGCTACACAGTTTCTGTTGTACGCCATGGTTATAATATAGCTTCGGAAATGCGGTTAATGACCTTCTGCTCTTATTAAATTTAATTTAAAGAATTCAAGAAGTAAATTTGTAAGTAGTAGTTGCGAAAAATTACAAAGCAGCATTTCAGTGTTGATACATATGAACGTTGAAGACAGTGGCTAATCATTGGTTTTTGAGACTTTTGCAGTACAAAAAAATATGCCAAATGTTTCCGTAGTGATGGTGGCTAAAAAATGTTCGGCAGCCAGGCGATAGTTTGTTCTAGCAACCGACAGATTTGACGTAACATATCAAGCTTAAAAAGAATATTTTCTATCTGCATTGCTTATTGAGGTCATGCATTTTTTTGGTAGACAGTAAGTGAGAGTATTTGGTAATACTTATAGACATACTTATACTTAAGGAAGGTAATTCGGTGTATACGTTTCGACTTATCTAAAAAAGTGTGGTGTATCGAAAATGGATGAAATCGGAAGGTAACCGCGCCCACCTCTCATATACACTACGATATTTCCGCAAATACTGGATCCCAATTAATGAAGATTAATATGTTAAGTAGAATTTGGACCTAAAAAAAGGCAATAATAAAAGTTTTAGAAAGTAGTTTTAGATGAAGTATGATGCTTTCTCAAAAGTTGAACAATTTGTACTGAGCAGTGTGGAATCTACATATGGAGAATATTGCTGTCGCAAACAACCCAATCATCGCCTCTTGACCTTATCGCAACAGTAAAATACAATTTTATCAGTTTTTCCCCTCGTAGATCTAACATTCAAGAAAAATGCTATGACGGATGAAGAAGTCAAGATAACATCGTCTGATTCATCTAGAAAAAAATAGTTTCCAATCAGGAACAATTTATATATTTGAATCAGTATTAAAAGCTCTATTAGCCCATACACTCGGCTCTTGATAGACTAGGCTCCCCTGAATTGCTTTTTTTTTGTCTATATGCGTTCTTATTGCAAGCCTAAACATTTAGGTACCTTGCATAGAAAGTATTGGATACTTTTTAAATCTGTACCGAGAATTAATCAATACTCAAAAGTATCGACTCAGCACATCACTAGTACTGAGAGAGAGCCTTTCTTATCACCGTTTGGGCATTATTGAAGTCTCCTTCAATATCCAGAAAGGCGGCAAGTATGTCTGCCTTAAGCTCTTGCGAAAAATTGGTCCATGCTACCTGGAAAGTGGGTGCCTATTAAACATTCAAGGGTTTGCCGCCTAGAGACCTTCCAATTGCGTCCATCTGGTCATTACCTTGCGGAGCCTCGACACCTAATTTGTGGTCACCAGCGCTCCACAGATCTCTTTACATTCATCTTTTTGTGAGACCCTCTCGTATTTGTTAAAGCCGGTTCTATATTTGTTCCAGTTTTCCTCACGTCGGCTACGTTTGACTTTGTAGAAGAGTTCTTCGTTCCACCACACCGGCTTGGGCTTTAATTGTGGCCAATATATAGGACAACTCAGCTTGAAACACTTGCTTAGGATCACGTTTAGATGATTAACTGCCCTATCGAAATTATAATTGTCTAATATAACTTCTTCGGTTTCCATGAAAGTTAGTGTACTGGATGCCAATTCAGAGAAATTTTCCAATCTAATTTAGCTTGTCAATTAAATTGATTTTAAATACCTAAAGTGGTGGTTATGCTCGTTATAAAGATTTTCGACATGAAGCCCATATCGTTTGATACTCATCTTAAAATAATTTACGTAAAGAATATTTTCGAAATAAATCGTTATTGAAGCGCTTTTGTTTGACATTTATATTGTTGTGCTATTTCAGTTCACTTATTAATTAATAGATTTAAAATTTTTACCATTAAGTGGTATTTTCGAAATAAATCGTTTTGCCACCCTTTCGTTTGAAATCCACGTCATAGTGGTATTTTCTTAATTGATTTCATCTCTTTAAAAAGGTGGAAACTCTCATCAAACCATATGCTGTATTTTAAGCGAGGTTATAGCCTATCTGTTCGCTAAATTTCTTTGAAATTCGTGACTTAGTCACTCACTCGCTCAAAAATTGTCAAATTTATAATATCAGTAGGATTCATGATACTATGTATTGTACTAATTTTTTTATTTTTATATCCGATATGAAAAAACATAAATTATTGTGTCAAATGTTTTACGAAAAAAAAACTCAACATATTTGGCACACATGCATATTTATAGCGGCTATAGAATTTCAAATATATACTGTAATTAGTCACAATCAATTCCCTTGTTAAACATAATTCAATTTATTCGCATAACACAACCGAACAGCTAATTTTATAAATTTCACCACAAAAAAAAATTGATATATACAGCACACCAGCCAATTTCACACAATATCAGTTTAATTAAATACAATCGAAATATGCCTATGCCAACTGCATATAAATTGTTTTGAGTGAGCCTGTAAATAGGCTACATCCCAATAGAGTAGGGGCAAGCAATTCAGCAATTTTAAATGCATATATACAAGTTTATACATGTACATGTGCATAAATATAAGAGCTTTTATTAGTGCGTGTAGAAACGCGTAAATATGAACCTAATTAAAATGCAATTACATACTAAGCTGGTCTCTATGAAATCACTGGATTAGCTATTGCATATCCCATGAATACTAAAAGTAAAGCACAATCAAATGAAGTTACACAGACCAGTTTGGGTATAATTTTACCACAGAAATAATACTTGCATCACCTACTGTAGTACCATTTGCTTAATTTTCTTAATTTAACTAATATTCTTTCCTTTCTTCTTTCTCACTTTCTACGTCTCTCCCTTTAAGGTGGAACGTGAAATTGCAATTATGAAATTGATTGATCATCCACACGTCTTGGGATTGAGCGAGGTTTATGAAAATAAGAAATATTTGTATTTAATATTAGAACATGTCTCTGGTGGCGAACTATTCGATTATCTGGTGAAAAAAGGACGACTGACGCCGAAGGAGGCACGTAAATTTTTCCGTCAAATAATCTCAGCGCTGGATTTTTGTCACTCACATTCAATATGGTAAGTAAAATTAAGGAATATAGTTAATAAATGATTAAAGAGTTTTATGTACATTAGGGTGGTCCAAAATAAGTAAAGTCGGAATTTTAATGCTCCCACCCCTTAGGAGTGTTCTATATCGAGAAAATATAAACACCTACTTATTTATTTTTAAATAAAAAAAATATTTAAGAGGTCGCTCAAAGCGCTCAAAGTTTTCCATGTATTTTATAGGGGGGAAAAACAACATTCCGCAGAAATGGTATAGAATTCTTGAAAATCAATATTTTTCGATTGGAGAACTCTAGTTTTCTTCAGAAGACTTTCAATAAAAATATCCAATTGTTTATTTAACTATTTTTTATTACTACAGAGTTTTTATTTATCCCCATTGCATTTTGTGGCATTCTCTTGGGGTTTTAGCCGACATATAAAATATAGTTACTATGAAACAACGGTTAAATTAATAATTGGGTATAGTTATTGGGATTCTCCTGAAGAGGAGCAGAGTTTAAATAGCGGCAAATCAGCTGCACTTGATAGTAGTTGGTTGATTAAGGAAAATGAATTAGCAACAAGAGTTTACGGAATGTACATAGCTCAGTGGTTAACGCTTCTGACTTTGAACATTGATTACGCAGGTTCGATCACTGCTGAAGTCTAGAAANAATTTTTCCTAATAAACAATCGTGGTACAAAGCTCAATAAAAATATTAAAAAATAAAAATTTTAATAAGCCACAATAACATTGACAAATACATAATTGTTTTTTTTTTTCAAATAACTTTGGGAAGTTTTCAAATAGAAATTCCATATTAGAGGCAATGGGAGTTGGCATCAAATATAACATATCTGTGAAGTCGCAAGAGTGTGCCACCAAAGTAAAGAAAATTACAGCATGCTGAATATCTGTCGCAGCTATTTTTTTTTAATTTTTTTCATTTTAAAACTTTGAGATACTTCATATTAACATTAAATGGTGAAAATGTTCTTCTTGCCAAAACAAACCAATCCAGAGTAAGAAATCTAGTGTGCTGGCAAATGAAAGTAAAATACACTAATTTTAAGATGACGCTGATTTGCAAAACAAAAATTCCAATTTTTATTGGAACACTCAATTGGAATTTCATAAAACAATCAATACACTCACAAAACTATGGGCCAAATATAGTAGAGCTGCGTTTTTAGTTTTCCCTCAGACTTTAGGATTTTTTAAACGGACTTTGAAAGATGATTTAATAATTTCAGTGCAATGTAAATTAAAGGCCAAATAGGTATTGCAAATGCTCTCTTAATCAATTTTATTGTTTTAAGCCAGTAAAGTTTGAAAGACAAAATTCGATTTTGTCGTCGCGTGTATATAATTTTTTTCTTTTTTCAGAAATAAACACTGCCCATATTCAAGGTTAAAATTTTAAAAGGACATTTTTAATACCTATTCGTCCACATGCGTAAAAAATTTAATCCTTTTTAACTTTACAAAACTTTCTCTTTCATTTGATACCCATATTCTTAATCTCAATTGCAATGAACTTTTTTCAAAAGTTTTGAACTAATCACAAATTTCAAATTTCGAATTCCTTAAAAAAAAATTCTGACGTCAAAGAGAAAACCGGAAAAAGCAGTTTTACTATATTTTTGGTCCCTAGCTTCGCGAATGTAGTGCCTTTTTTATGTGTAAAATTTACTATCGCGCGGTGTTACTGGAGAGCGTTGTTACTACTTTTAAAAATATTTGAATTTTTTGTTTTTTTTTTTACTAGATATTACGTACAAAATACTTTTGCGTAGCGCATACGTTAATTTCGACCAGAAGGAAAAATGCATTGTAACATACGATAAAATATACAGCAAATTTTTATAGAGATTTTAGGTACAATATTTTACCAATGTCAATTTCGAAAAATTGCCACATACGATAATTTCGCGCAAAGGGGTCGATATAATGAGATATCATTGAAAAACGAAGTATCTAGGTTTTTTCAAATTTTACATAATTTTTCTATATTCTTAATTTTTGTGCAGAACTTAGCTAGTTTTAATTATTTTATTAAATTTTCATATGTTTACATATTTAGTTAGTGGCGGTAATCTCCTAGCCACTAAAGCTTTGTCACCCAGTTGCGCTGCCAACTAAACTCTTTGGCCCAGCCAATTTGCCACGTCGTCAAGCATTAAATAACTTTTCCGTCTAATCTTCTTGCACCATCTACAAACATGAGCATATTTACATACTTACATACATATATGTGTACATACTTTCTCTTATGCACATCGAAATTCGTAAATTTTTCATCACCTTCCTTTTTTCTTTACTCCACACATTGCAGTCATCGAGATTTGAAACCCGAAAATTTGCTATTGGACGAAAAGAACAACATCAAAATTGCCGACTTCGGAATGGCTTCACTGCAACCGGCCGGTTCAATGTTGGAAACCTCATGTGGATCGCCGCATTATGCATGTCCCGAGGTCATAAGGGTAAGTGTATACTAAACGAACAGCATTCATTCGGTTTGGAAAATCTGTGCAAGCGTTGATGCTGACGATGGCGATAATGATGACACAGTCCATCGCCTAGTGCTTGGTGTTGCTGGTAGTTGAATGCTGTTGGCAATATTTGCAGCTGCAGAGATTTAGGCATACAGATTAGCAACAGCTTCCTGCCAGCCTGCGAGTGAGGCGTCATTTGCCCGCAACCAGCCCCCTGCTGTGCACTGTGCTATGCTATTTATGAGCCCTTTGTCCGTTTCGACGATGTTTTAAGTTAAATATTGTCCCGCATAAGCTCACCACTTTTGGCAATAGCTGAAAGCAGGCAGGAAAAGTAACTATGTAAAGTGTAAACAATGCATACATACTATACAGCATACGTATATACATCCATATAAACATAGCGTACTGTGCTACGCGGGCAAGGACAAGTGGCTGTAGTCACTGCAGCATGCTAAATGAGAGCAAAAGTGGCCGTGGAAGCCTGCTAATAATCATTTTTTGCTATATGTGTATGGATGTGTGTATGTATGCGACTGTAGGGGTGTACGTGTGTGTGCACTAAGGTGTACTAAACTGAAGCTATGGCATCGTCGTTGTTAACGCTCACTGACTAATTCCGGTGATGATGCTGATGCCAGTCATCGTGCTGGTGCTTTTGCCATCAGCAAATATTGCCAGCTCTTAACTACTCAAATACTTATCTAGCGCAGAACCTGAGTGCTATGCTGCTATTTGGGTTGTTAATTAGTTAATTATCTCACTGATAGGAAAAATTAAAGTGTAACGGATATTATTAAGAGATGCAATTGCATGACGATTAAAATTTTGAAGAGAAAGCCAGTACGCAATATGGAAAAGTGGAATATATGTATGTATGTATTTCTTATAAATTAAAAAGTATGATTCCTATTGGGGATTTAATATTGATTTTATAGCTTAATTGATTTTACCCGCGCAACAACTTAACTAAGCTAAATTTGAATTTTAAAACAGATAAATAAAATATTTTGAGAAAAGTCTTCATTAGGTACGTTCCTTAGGCAACCGCATTTTAATGTTTCATTCAACCTTTCATTAAATTGGACTGGAACTATGGAACTGGTTGCAACAAAAATATTTGTTAAATAAAGCTTACTTAATTAAACCTCTCTCTCTTGGTAAGTAAATTCATTAGGAACTTATAACTAGGTGGCAAGCCCTTTAAAAAATATTTTCGTACTGAAGCTCTTTCTCTCGTTCGATACCCAAATAAAGAAAATATATTTGGCACCAATATTAAAATATTTTATTTAACTTGTTTATCAAATTGGTCTTGAATTTGTTAATATGTGGCAACCTTCGTCAAAAATATTTCCGAAACGGGGCTATCTTAAACCTCTCGTGAGATAACCATATAAAATACTTAATTTAATTTATTAATTAAATTGATTTTGGACTAATTAACAGGTGAGAAACCTTTTAAAAACTATTTCGGAAACCAGTTTTCTTAAAGCTCTCTCGGTTGACGCCCATACTAATATATTTCTTAAAACTAGTTATTTAAACTGATTTTAAATTTCCAAACAGGTGACAAGCCTCTTCAAAAGGTTCTTCCAATAGAGGCTTTCGTAAACCTCTCATTGATGTGGTTTCCACATAAACTATTTAATTTAATATATTAATTAAATTGATTTTGAACTGCAAAATATTTTCCTAATTAGGCTTTGTGTCGATTTTCATTTCATCAAATTTCAAATCTCCCTGTGAAGCTAAAAAGCTGTGCACATCTATGTAGAATTCCAGTTTTTTAATTTAATTTTTGGAAATTCGAAATAACGGCGCAGATGTGGTTACCTTCAAAAAAAGATGGCAACCCTGACTAAATATATTATCAGCCTAAAGTTTTCTTGGAACTCTTTCGTTTGACACTAATATTTCGATATTTCATTTATTTAACTTGCGTATAAGTAAAACAAATTCGACTTTTAAAACAGGGGGCAACCCCTTTTATAATATTTTCAAACTAAAATATTTTTATCGTCTGGCATTGTTATACATATTTCAATTAACAGATGAATTAAGTTGAATTTGTTTTTTGAGCACATGGCAGCTTTTCAAAATGCAATTCAGTAATAAATTATTTTCAATCCTGTTTCGATTGATACCCATCCTTTGACAATCCATTTAACTTATTAAATAATTTGAATTTAATTTTTTCAACAGATGGCAGCTTTTTTCTGGCACCCTAAAAAGTTCTAAATGTTCAATTTGAAGATTTCTTAAATTTCAATTGGCTTATGTATAAATAAACTAAATAGGACTTTCAAAACAGGCGGCCACGCTCTTAAAAATTATTTTCGTACTAAAGTTTTATTAAATATTTTTCGTATGACATTGTTATAAACATTTCAAGTAACAGATGAATTAAGCGGAAATATATTTTTTAAACACGTGGAAACTTGAAATTAACAATTTTATACCCATTCTCATTTATTTAATTCAATTCATTTAACTTTTTAAATTATTTTTATTGAACCCTTTAAACGGGTGAAACCTTAAAACACATCAAAAATATTCTAAGTTGTCAAAATAAATATTTCATATTTCATTTGACATCCATTTTTAATAGTTCATATAAATTGGGCATAAAATAATTTAATTCGACTTCTGAAATAGGTGACAACCCTCTTAAAAATATTTCCAAACTACTTCCTTCTTAAACCTCTTTTGCTTGACACCCATATTACCTTATTCACTTACCAAATTCCTTTAATTAAAATTGAATTACATTTTTTAAACGTGTGACAACCCTCCTACATGTAATTAAGATATAAAGCCTTTTCAAAACCATTTCGGTTGATACCCATATTGTAACAACTGATTTTACTTTTAAAACAATTTGAGCTTAATTTCTTAAGAGGCGGCAACTCTTTTCGAAAAAGTAAAACCTTACTGAACATCCACACTCTAAACCCTTTAATTTCGTATCTCATTTTTGAAAATCGAACAAACGGTGCGGATCTGAGGGCATTGAATAGTAAATAACTTGAGTTTAATTATTTAACTGTTGGCAACTCTTTTCAGGTTAAGCGCTTTCATTTGACAACCCACTTTTGAAAATCGAAAGAGCGGTGCAGATAGATCTTTTATGCTGAACAAAAAATGAATTCGCGTATTATATATACAGATACTTCTGTATCTAATTCCGTTTTCAACCAAAGTGACAGAAGATTTAAAATAATTTAACAATTTAAGCACATTTGTCTCAGATATTTCACTCACATAAATAGGAAAGCGAGCATTTCCTTCCAAAACGTTCTCGTGCTAAAAATACACTCCGCGCCATAATTATAAGCGCACCACATATTGACAAGTTTTTATAATTTGTTTTTTTTTTGTTTGTTATTATAATCTAAGATTCGAACAGGGCACGACCTTCATCCATCTCTTTAATGGATGAAATCAATTTTGTATGAAATTTAACGTGTTAGGAAATATTTCGCGAGTGGGTTGGGTGAAAAAATCCTGGCCAGGATATTTTTAATTAAATATTCAAAATTATTATTTCTTTAATTTTGCACTCATTTGTTAAATGAACAAATTATATATCAGTCGAAAGTATTAAGCCTGTAGAATGTGAAAACGTCGGGTGGTCTATTTTTTCCTGGCCAAAGGATAAACTATAGTCTTTAGAAGAAAAAAAAACTAAAAAAAAAAAAAAATTGTTGCTACTTCTCAATATGTGGTGCGCTTATAATTATGACACGGGGTGTATTTATGTACATACACGCACCGACTTTGCCATGGAATTCATAACCAATGATTAATGTTGTGTCCCTGAAGGCATACTAATGCAAATTTCTTATCTTTGCCCGCCCAACTACATTTCTATTTAAATCGACTCAGAATTTCTAATGCGTTTGAGATTTGAATAATCTACCTATGTACATACATACATACATAGATATAACATGAACACATAAATCTTCCATAAATGCCGCACAAAAAAAAAATGATAAAAATACTAAAATTCGAATAAAATAGAAGGTGACACAAACAAGACATTTAAGAACAAACAGACACGAAAATAAAATAAAATAAAAATATTTTCACATTGGAAAAATATGCAATTCGACACAAATGCTACCANTTGATAAAAATACTAAAATTCGAATAAAATAGAAGGTGACACAAACAAGACATTTAAGAACAAACAGACACGAAAATAAAATGAAAAAAATATTTTCACATTGGAAAAATATGCAATTCGACACAAATGCTACCAACTGATTGCGCTCAGTGAGTGAGCATGTGCCGCAAACGTTTTCGTCAGAGAATTTAAGGGAAAAATAAAGCAAAAACGGGTCACCTTTAGCGAAGGACGAAGTTGCANTGCAAACGTTTTCGTCAGAGAATATAGGGGAAAAATAAAGCAAAAACGGGTCACCTTTAGCGAAGGACGAAGTTGCACCAAAAACACTGCCCGGCTGAAGCTTGGTCAGGCTGCGTACGACGTTGCGGCATTCGCATGCGATGAAGAATTGCTGCATAGTCGTGGCGTAAGTTCTTCTCCGGTTGCGGGTAAAAAATTTATAAAATCACAAATATTTACAAAGTCACGCAGGAAGGAAATGCGGCAGGAAGTGAGGACATGCGACGACGACGACGATGACGACGACGACGGTGATGACGATGACATTGACGTGCACCGACAAAAAGCCAAATGCGGTGGGTACAGCGTTGAAAGAAGAGGTTGGGANCGACGATGACGACGACGACGGTGATGACGATGACATTGACGTGCAACGACAAAAAGCCAAATGCGGTGGGTACAGCGTTGAAAGAAGAGGTTGGGAAAGGAGGGACGGACGGCATGTTAAGTGGCACACAACAAGCATATATTTCATATGCAGATCTAAGTGAAGATGTATACACATACAAGCCAAGCACTCACACACTCATTGCTAATGGCTAAGGAAGCAGGTCATTTCGGCCGGAGGACAATA